GCTCTGTGTGGAGTCCCCCCTGTATAGATGGGGGTGACACGGAGGATGGGCGGAGTCTCTCACCTGTCCCGCTCTCCCGGTGGCGCTATGTACTCTCCTCTTCTCGCACAGCTCACATTCAAACCCGCTCACGCTGGCGCTCTCCTCTCACTGCGCATGTCCGGCTCCTCCCACCTTCACCTCACACACACGCGCAGATTGATAATGACGCAACTCAAGGCACTTCCGCCCATAACCCTGTCTGACGACGTCACTTCCGCCACGCAACTCACCGCAGCGGAAGGTTTAGTACAAGCCGGAAGTACTATCTGTAACCCTAAAAGCGCGTGGCGTCACTTCCGCCTGAGAATTTGACCCCTTTGCGTTTTATTAAATTTATGTGGCCCCCCGGGGCCCCTGCAGACGGTATTCCGTGTGTTCCTTTCCTCGGTGTTTATTGTGGTCTGTGGAGGGTGATATTCTGTATATCGGATTCCAGAATGAAAGTGTAAACCCGAAAAAATAACTTCCATAAATCCTGGAGATCCTGCCATGTCCTATAATGTCTCCTGTAGTATGTCTGCAGTCTCTGACCCTCTCCTGTAGTATGTCTGCAGTCTCTGACCCTCTCCTGTTGTATGTCTGCAGTCTCTGACCCTCTCCTGTAGTATGTCTGCAGTCTCTGACCATCTCCTGTAGTATCTGTGCAGTCTCTGACCCTCTCCTGTAGGTCTATGTCTGCAGTTTCTGACCATCTCCTGTAGTATGTCTGCAGTCTCTGACCATCTTCTGTAGTATCTGTGCAGTCTCTGACCCTCTCCTGTACTGTCTGCAGTCTCTGACCATCTCCTGTAGTATCTGTGCAGTCTCTGACCCTCTCCTGTTATGTCTGCAGTCTCTGACCCTCTCCTGTACTATGTCTGCAGTCTCTGACCCTCTCCTGTACTATGTCTGCAGTCTCTGACCCTCTCCTGTACTATGTCTGCAGTCTCTGACCCTCTCCTGTACTATGTCTGCAGTCTCTGACCCTCTCCTGTACTATGTCTGCAGTCTCTGACCCTCTCCTGTACTATGTCTGCAGTCTCTGACCCTCTCCTGTACTATGTCTGCAGTCTCTGACCCTCTCCTGTACTATGTCTGCAGTCTCTGACCCTCTCCTGTACTATGTCTGCAGTCTCTGACCATCTCCTGTAGTATCTCTGCAGTCTCCGACCCTCTCCTGTACTATGTAGAACGTCCAGCCAAAGAGGACCTGTCATTGAAGCAGCACAACATCCCATATCAGATGGCGGCCGGACCTCGTATGAGCAATTATTATTATTTTTTTTAAGAGCCCGTGGAGCGCGCATCGAAAAACAACTTCCCCCCGTGAACAAAAAAAGTGAACCACAGCACACAAAAACGTGCACAAGGGTGCGAGGTCCTTCCAAAGAAGCGACCTAGAATTCCAGACCCCCCGGGGCTGAGACTGTGATGGTCCACCCGGAGGCCGGCGGACCCCGATCCTGCCGGAGCGGGTCCCTCACAGTACTCGGCAGGAGGGATCTCCCGAAGAGAGACCCCCCCCGGGTGGGAGGAGACAGAGAACCCCGTATGAGGGCACAGAACCTCCTCCCCCAGCATCGGGAAAAGGCCCCGAAGGAACCTGCACCCTCCGTCATCTGGGTTCTTAAATTTTAAAAAGCGTGCCAATCGTGCATGAGGCGCAATAAATAAAGAGTGCCGGAGCACCACGAGTGCAAAATTATTACCCCGGACTACCATAAGGCCGGCCCTAGAGGCGATGTGCAGACTATGCCGGGTGGTGTGTGACCGAGTGATCAGTGAGTCATGTGGGGTCCCGGACCCCGTGACTACCTGAGAATCCCTGGGACGCCACCCCCCCCAGGGGGCAAAACACCGCGGGCTCTGCCGCCCCCCAACCCTCCGGCCTCGATCAAGTTTCGGATCTGCCCATTATCAGGAGTCTCAGGAGGAGGTCCGACACCAAACGCACCCATTATGGAAGAGTCGTTAGCCCGGTGCAACCTCCTCCAGTACTCAGACAATCACACCGGCAAATGGCTACCGGAGCATCTACCACTGATAAGAACAGACACTTCATCTTAGCCAATAGGCCGAGGAGCGATGGGGCAGTTACAGATACCCCCTCCCCACTCCCAAGTCTCATCCTCCCCCCAATCTTCAGAGGCGGGCCGCACTGGAAGCTCCGCCCTCCCATGCAGAGTCAGTCCGGACTATGAGCTCGGGTCAGTAGAATTAGTCAATCAGCTCTGCGGTCCAGGAAGGGATATCGCACTGGATCGGGGGCAACTATAACCAAGGTGCAGCTGCACTATACAAGACCTGAAAACGGAAAGTGAACATTTGCTGTCTGTAATCGGTGATTGTGCCTAAGCCGAAAAATAGAGCACTTCCTGTGCCTAGGCACTCCTGATATCAGAGCACTTCCTGTGCCTGGGCACTCCTGATATCAGAGCACTTCCTGTGCCTGGGCACCCCTGATATCAGAGCACTTCCTGTGCCTGGGCACCCCTGATATCAGAGCACTTCCTGTGCCTAGGCACTCCTGTTCTGTACATCTGCAACGTAAGAGCATCTCAGGCTCTGCTGATGTCACCAGATTTGGGGGAGATTTGATGATGTCACTGCTGTGCTGCTCGCTGTTCTCTTTGCTGGAGAGGAAGTTGTACCCGATGATCTCCCGGCTCCTCCTTCCTCCATTCCGGTGATCTGAGCTCCTCCCCCTCCAGTCATCAGAGTCTGAACACACCGGAACAGTGTTAGATGTCTATGTCATCTTCAACCTGGAAGAGGCGGAGCAGAAGCTGAGGAGGAGCCTATAGGAGGCCGGGGGAATCCCCCGGGGGGGGGCACCACAGCAGCCTAAGGGAACCTCAGACACACGTGTAGTGGATGGTCGGCAGGTCTCTGCCCAATTCTGGCATCACACTCTATGCAATGAGCTGTTATTAGGGGGATACTACTTGTGATGGCCGACACTCAACCAGGGGCCCCGACACTCAACCAGGGGCCCGACTTTCAGAGTCATCCTTCTAACTCTACATAAAACAAGGAGCCCGGTTGTGGGCGGGGATTGGACTTTAAAGGAACACTCCAGGTTGCTGTACACGTGCGGGTGAGCACCG